CCCCAAAACCCCAAAACCCCAAAACCCCTTCAACATAAAATATCTAATTTAATGAAGTTAGATTTCTAAATAAAATTATCAAAGTTATTACTACACTTTTTTTAATTAAACTCAATTCCTTAAGACATTAGAAATCTTTAAATATAATTAAAAATTTTTACACAAATGAACCTAGAGGAATAAGAAACTAGAAAGAAATGGCTCTTATATCTTAACGAACATATAATGAGCTACTGCTAGTCAATAATGACTATGATCTATAACAAGCATCCTGATTTAGATGCAATAGATACTACTTTCTATCCAACTAATAGCGATGGAACAAAGAAGTTGTAGAGATCTTGCATAATAGTAGCTAATTCGGAATAATTCCTTAAAGCATGGCTGAGTCCTTTGATTTATCTTATGGAGATCCGTTTGATCTTAATAATCCGTGGAAAAACCCTTTAGAGAAAGAAGTTGTAGAGATCTTGGGTAAATTGCTTGGATTTTAGGATATGTCAGGCTATGTGACTGCAAGTGAATGTGAAGCAAATTTTTCCTGCATATGGTGGTGCAAGCTTTTCTTGCTCGAGAAATCTAACTATAAGATTAAAGAATTAATTGAGAGTATTGAAGCTGCCAAATAAGATATCAAGAATTTAAGAAGAGACGAAGAATTTTAGCTTAGGAACTTAAAGAATTAAGAGATCTATGAATTGTCAAAGCAGCTTAAAAATATCTAATAGCCAATATTGATTTGCTCACGACCTCCATATACTGATATTTCAATAATTAAAGCTGCCTAAGTTATGCACCTCAAGACTTGCTACGTGAAAGTTAATGAGGATGGATCGATGAATACCTAATCTTTAAGAGTCTTATTAAATGAATTCAGCAAGGATTAAGCTTTCAACTTCATCATTAGTTTAAATCTAGGAACTTAAATAGGAGGTTCTTTTGACGATTTACTAACTATTCGCAAAGTTATTTAAGAAGTCTAATAGGAATTCTTCTTTTAATAAAAAGATGGCTAGTATCAGTTTAATAACTATGGTGAAGATTAGAGAAAATAAATCAATAATTGGAATTTTGTATTTCATGGGGATGCCTTACTTTATGGACCCACACTAACAATTCTAAAGCAATACGGAGATTAAATTAAAAGCTTAAGAGAAGAAGGTTTAGATACTATGTCAATTTCTTTGTGGAAATTTTTAGGATGCTAAATACCAGCTGCAGTTTCCTTAACATACAAAGATTTTACAGATTTTGCATTCCAGGGTGATAACTTTATTGAGTATGTTTCAACATCAGATAAAGTTGCCTTTACTGGGACAAGATCAGGCCTCACTTCAATGTGTGCTGTGCATCTATTAAAAACTTTGAAAATTGATAAAAATCAAGAAATTTTAAGAAAACTTATTCAATATGACATGAGTCTTGCAGATTACCTTTGCTAGAGATTACTGCAAATATTTTCTTAAGATTAAATATAGAGACGATACTTGCATGTAATATTTCCAAAACAAAACATCCCTGAAAAAATAGTATAAAAATACTCATTGTAGAGTATTAATGACTTATAATTATAGTCAGTAATATTCCATAACGTGAATAAAGAACTAATAGATGAGTTTATTGAAGAACTCTTAAATCATTTTAAAAATAGTAATGAAAATACTAGCAGAATTTGAATTAACTCATAACCTACTTTGATAATTGCTTTTGATTTAGAAATTCTTAAACTGGGATAATAATAAGAATTTATCATTTGCTTTTGATGATTAGAAAAATTTTAATTATTTTTGCATAATTTTTATCGAAAAAAGGGATCCATTTTAAATTCCTATTGGATAACTCAGTTATATATTTATGAATCTTCTAAAAATTAAGCAATTAATACTTATGGGGTTTTGGGGTTTTGGGGTTTTGGGGTTTTGGGGTTTTGGGG